GCAAAAAAATTTGCAGAAGATCTAAATCTTCAACTACTTTGTCTTACTTTACATTATAACATTAGTTATAATTTAATCAACAAAGCTCTTTTTCAAATACAAAATAATGAAAAGTTAAATATTAATATTTCTTTTAACATTAACACTGAAAAATTTAAAAATTCTTTTCAAATATCTTCTCTTAAACCACATAAAGCAATTCTTGAAAATTGGTTTGATAAATTCTTTGAAATTTATAAATGACATTCTTCAAACATTATCAAAAACCAAAGTTCTTAACTTTCTTAAATATTAAACTGCAACTAAATATGCTAAAGAGCATAAAAAATTATTACCACAATTCTTTATTATTGAATTTATTATATCTTTTCAAGAGCAGACTCTATTAGTTAGAAAACTTGCTCTTTTTCATGTTCATACTTGCAAAAACTCTGATGAACATAAATGTACAGTTCTTCTATCTGATACTGAATATAATTTTCAAAACCTCTCTACATATTATTTTGATCAATCCTTCAAAAAATTCTCTGCTTCTGTCTCTGACAAATCAAGTCCATCTATCAAGTTTAATAAACCAGCATGAACTCATCTTACCTTAGACTTTTCAATCTTCTATAAAGATAATGAATATTTAGCCTCATTCAAAATTTCAACTCCAATTAAATCTCTTCATGAACTTGCTGATTCTGCTGAAAAACAATTTATAAAAATTAACAAAACTGATCATAATATTAATCATCAAACTTACTACTTTTATGAATACTTTAAAGCTTTTCTTCAAGCAGCAGTTCAAAATGATGAAATCTTCAACTTAAGCTATGATCAAGCTATTAAAAAAGCTACAACTCAAATTACAAACATTCATTTTCTAGCCAGAATTATTACCTACTTTAAAATACTTAAACAAAGTGATACAAATCTTTCTATTTCTTTTATCTGAAAAAAATACAATGAAGACTATTACCCTCAAGTTGAATCTTTTATTATTAAGGAATTCAAATATATCACTCCTAAAAAAATTAATGACTTTGACCTTTTTAAACCTATTATCTCTTAACCTCCTTTTCAATAAACCTTTCTGCAAGTAATATTAAAGCAGCTGTCACCTCTAAAATTATAATGTATTCTACAAACAGTAGGCTATTTTTAGAGGAGAATAAGGTAAGTAGGCAGGCAGTAAAGTCTATTTACATGAAAGACTAGAATTATGATGGTCAGGCCCAATGTACAGAAAAGATTACAGTATCTTTTGCATCTGTGCAAGCTGAGCTTAAAATGGTGAGCGATCTTGCAGAAACCCAATACCCATCTTTGAACTCCAACTTCTTCCCTAACTTTAAGAATCCTTCTTGTTACAATATCTTCCTAATTCACTATAATCTTCCAACTCTACCACTCAATCAAACACTTTTAAATTTTCTTTAATATTTAAAAAATAATCTATTCAATAAATCATTTAAAATCTCTATCAATACTACATTTCCTGAAACATATATTTATAAAAACTTAAACAATAATATAATACCAAATTATACACTTCTCTTTAAATCTCTTTATTATCAATACTATAACTTACCTATTAAATCATATTGACAATTTTTAGTTCCTAATATATTAACAGACTCTGATTTTTTTAATACTAACAATCTCAATATCACAAATTCTATCTCTTCTATGTTACATCCATCTGACACTACTTCAACTAATAACATTCCTTCTCTTCAAACATTCCTTATATCTACAATTTCAATTCCTATAAAAATCGGTTCTTTAAATATTAATGGCTTACTTCAACATTCAAAAAAGAGCTCACTCATTGATATTATTAATCAACATAACTTTGATATCTTCGGATTATCAGAAACACATCTTAGTTCTAAAGAAGGAAAATTCTTTAACCAAAATCTTCAAAACCATAATAGCTTTTGAAGTTCTTATGAAAATCCTCACCAAGCAGGTGTTGGAATTTTTATACATAAAAGAATCTCCAAATACATTGCCAGAACACACAATTATAATGGTCATATAATTGGCTTAAATCTACATTTTAAACACAACTCTATCTGTATTCTTCAAATTTACTTTTCTACTTTAGAGAAAAAACAATTACGTGCCAAAATTCAAAAACAAATTATTTTACTCTATAATAATTCTAACTATCAACTCATAATACTCGGTGATTTCAACAGTGTTCCAAACCCTCATCAAGATAGAAATCCTTCAAAAAACACCTCTATTCCAAAATCTCAAATCCTCAAATAATTAATTAGTCATCAATTTAAAGATATATATTGATTTTTCTTTTCTACAATATTAAATTTTACATTCTCTTGCTCAACTTCTAATAGCAGAATTGACCAAATATGGACAAACTTAAATATATTACAAATTGAATACATTGACATCCTTGAGGATATCTTTTCTGAATCAGATCATAAAATTATTATTCTCAAAATTTCTATAACTATTAATAAAACAAAATCTTCTAAACAACATACTAGGAAAAACTTTCTTTGGAAATCCTGCTCTAAAGAAAATATCAAAAACTACTCAAATCAAACATCACAAAGTCTATACCAATTACAAAACCAAATATCCAACATTTCAAATCAAAATGAACTCAATATAATTTGAAATAAAATACTTAAAGCA